AGTCTTCCGCAAGCTCCATGCCTTGCATGAAACCAATGAGAACGCGCTTCCGGATGGGTTGAACCTGGGCGGGTTGTGTGCACCGAGCCGGCTCGACGATGTCGGTGCAGATGTCCGGCTCTAGATCTGATCCTCTGATCTTGCCGATGAAGACGTGAATTTCACCGAAAGGAACCCGGTAGCCGTACTCGATTGAGTCGGCCTCGGGGCCCCAGCCTGCATCGTCGATGTAGAGCTTGCCGCGGCGACTCTTGGTCATCCTGCCGACAGTGTATCCCTCGATCCCTGGGAAAGAGCCCTTCAAGAACTCAAAACCATCGTGCGCTGGCCCAACGGTGGGCGCCAACTGTCGTGTTTTTGTCACGGCAGATGCCCTGGTGAAAGGACTTAGGGGCGAGGCCATGGCTATGGTGATTAGCTTAAAGGGGTTGAGCGGGACGAGAGACACGAGTATACCCAGGTTCGGCCCCTCACGGTCGAGGTAAAAGCCTACTTCCTACTTTGTCTTGTATTGCGTGAGTATCGACTACAAGGGAGCGGATTCGCTTAACCTAGTTATCGATTGATTGCCACTTAGGTTTACCCGCCGCAGGGACTCGCCTTTATATACGCATGTCGAGGCCCTGCGCTTACAAGAGTCTGGGTCGGGTTATACTTCGTAACTGATCCTAGCTCTAAGTCGCCTTGCCTTCTCTAGCAAGTCGCCGTCGGGCGGCTTACACCTCCGGGTCACGTACAGTCTTCTGGTCTTGGGCCTCCAACTGGCCCTCCTCGTAAGCCGCCTCCCTCGCTCCGTGTCTTGGTTTCTTGGGCCTGTCTAAGGCTTCATTGTTTAAGTCGCCACCAGTCTAATCCGGCCCTTCTAGGGCGGGTTATATCGTGGGGTCATATCCCTAACAAATAGAGTGCTCCACATTTCTTGTTTTTATAACAATGTGCGAAAGCTTCCTAGAAACCAATCCCTACTTCGGGTTGTGGAAGAAATACTTTCAGGTGAGGTCCCTGGAAAATGGGCAAGCTCTACGAGTGCGGCAAGCCAACATTCAATTGAAGCCACACGTCAAATACTTTACCCTAGGATTAACCGATTTAGTCAAGAAATGGCAAATACATCTGATTCTACTGCCCGGATGTCCCAATACACAGCCTGGCCAAGGGACTTCCGTCGTACTTGATTGCCCGGCCTCAACGCCGACGTTCATGGGGCATGAAACCATCCATTACAGAGATGCAGGACATTGAGCACCTCCACCAGAAAGTTCAACGCCTCATCAACACCGCCTCAGAGGGATGGATATTTTGGTTACTTGGCTAGATAGGAGGACACAACCCCTTAGGCTAGGCCCAACCCAATGTATGAGTACGTAGGACCCTTGGAAGACACTTGAGTAGTTTTCCATCAGCTACGATGCAAAGCCGCTTCAGACGACCACGACCATGATAGTAAAAGCAAGGGAAGACGACATACCAACCAAGCCCACCATCCTACCGTATTTCCTTCAACCTTAGCCCATGAATGTATGTATCTCTCACCCAGTTTCTCACCTGTCATTTCTTATTTGTCTCCTTCAACTGCTTACATGTGAGAATCACACTATTTTAGCACATTTTTCGCAACCCCTTGATCCGGCCTGTAGATTTTGATCCCTTGGTCCAATATATTCAAGGAGGCTTTTGGTCCATTTCATACTATAGGAGCGTCAAGGGCTACAAGCATCTTATCTCCATGAATCTGTTCCCCGAGAACACGGCCTCAATAGACATACACCAGTCTTACGAGCGTATCACCAAACGCATGCGATGACGACGCTGAGGATGCCCTGCCTAGTTCCGGCGACATCTCCGATGGAAAGCTGGGGCGACAGACCACGAACAAGAGCATGATGCAACAACGATCACCTTAATGAGAACACAGTTGTGCACTCCGCCAAGAATAAGAAACGAAATAGCAGAGAACAGACATTAGAAAATTTGCTCGCTGACGTTTGCACTTCCTCGGGTGCACACCGAAGAGAGCAGATAGGCAAGCATTCATGAACATTGATGGAAGGCCAACTCTTAGGAATCACATGGACACGAACCCATGGGTGGCTCGGCGACAGGTAGGAGCATGGAATCGTGTGCCGACAATGGGACCACACTCTAAAGCCCCATATGCGGCATTATTTTAGATACGGACATTTTGATCCATTTCTAAAACAAAGCACATATAGTACTGTCAAAATATATGACTTCATATCATACATGCATTGTCATATGTAGTGGACCTGTGCCAACAATGGAACCGCGTTGTAAATCCCCATATGCGTCATTATTTTAAGAGTAAAATGCACCAGTAGTCATTGAATTTATCGTGTCCGCTCACTTTGGTCACTGTACTTAAAAATACGATCAATACGATCACTATATACGTGCTAAGATGATTATATGGTCACTGTGAAATTGTACAAGTCCGTATTCCATCCATTTGACTGGTCAAACAATCCACATGGCGTGCGGCCCTACCTGTCAGTTGGTGGAAGTAAGAAGTAGAGGGAAAATAAAAATTCTGCTGTAGGAATTAGAACCCCATACCTCGCGCTAACGTGCACGCAGGCCTAACCAGCCGCTTCGGTTCGAATCTTGTGTCAAATTAGAGGAGAAAACCTTTTATATCTTCTAGTCATCCACGTGACAGCGTTGGGATATTTCCTTTTTGCGTATGTTCATATATAAGACCATTCTATTGGTTTAGATGATAGTGCGTTTTACCGTACTAAATTGCACCATCGCAAGTGTAATTTGGCTAACGTATATATTTCTGTTGATAGCATTTATAAGCATAATTTGGAGTACTTAACATGTGTATATTATTTTTATGCATTTAAACGTTTATTAATAAAATTTTATATAGACATATATTGACCATTTTGATAAGTACACTCCGCCATGATTAGCTACAAGATGACCGCACGCCAAATCCCTGGTCGTCTCGTGCTAAAAACTGAGCAACAACGCCCGCAAAATCTACTGGAGCTGCCGCTGCCACTGCGGCCGCGTCACTGTCGAGCCGCCGTCCACGCGTGCATATTGAACAAAAGAAATTGAAATGTTGATCCAATCTCGTTTTCTTGCGAGGGAAGTGCTAATGCAATTTTGGCCGTGAATCGTATGTACGAGTACACAGTACTGCCAAAACAGCTTTTTAAATCCTAAAAGGCCCGACCACTGAAGCCGAAACGATTATGATTTAGTACATCCCAAATGGATCGCACGCAAAAGAAAAAAAAATGCAATGGCTGTCACGTGAATCCAGTAGGATATAAATGGTTTTTTGCTCAAGTTGGACAAGGCGGGAGACAGGTGGAGCTGGTTTCCCTGCTCGCCTGGTTTCGACTCCCCACCGGCGCATAATTTTATTTCCCCCTACTCCTTTCTTCCACCCACTGACAGATAAGGCCCACACAGTCAGAGAAAAAAAAATGATAAGGCCTTGTTTGACCAGTCAAATAGATGAAATACAAAGCTATATGATCTGGTAGTGACCGTATATTCACCTCAACACGTATATAGTGACCGTATTGGTCGTATTCTTAACTACAATGACCAAAGTGAGCGTATACGATGAGTTCAATGACCACTAGTGCATTTTACTCTTATTTTAAATACAGACATTTCAAACCATTTCTAGGATAGAAGCACATATAGTATCGCTGAAACATACGACTTCATATCATACACGCATTGACATATGTCGCGGACTTTGCAAGTTGAATATCTCAACATTTCCACTCCCAAAGAGCCAACATAGATATATATATGAATAAGGCATACAAGTGCCAAGATGCAAATTTATTACACCCAGAGGCCACTTGATCCAACATTACATCGGAAATCTCAAATAGTCTTGAGTATAGACAAAATCCAATGATGAAAGTCTCAAATAGTCTTGAGTATAGACAAAATCCAATGATGCCAGGGCATATACAATGCATAGCCTCAAGGTGATGCCTCGCATGTCATGTAGGATCGGATATGACGTAAAGTAGGTTCGGATAGGGAAGCGGGATCCTCTCCAGGAGGCGGGTGCTTGAAGAGGAAAAGTGTGGTCCAGTGACAAAAACTGAAAAGGTTGGAGTGAAAAGTAGAGATGCATGTGTACTAGAGTCTTTATTTTTCTATTTCATAATTAGGCCCACTAGTGGTAGCTTGCATTGGGGAGAAAAAATAAATGTAGGTACCTCAAATTACTTTTTGTCATGAGCATATGTATCCATATGCCACCATTGTACATGCCCTAAGAGGCGGAAACATAAAGCAACGGTCACATGTCATCGGATCCAGGCTGCCGTACGGGACCTCTAATCTAATCTACTCGTTGGCGCCGGAGAACTCCACGTGGAATCGTCTTGTCTCAGCATCCCAGATATAGTTGTGATCAGCAGATATAGTTGTGATCAGCACCCGTTGTTCTCTTATTTCAAAATATTAGGATTCTACCCAAGTCTCGTCTGGTTTGCCTAACATACTAATGTTACTACGAAACACATAGCTCTATGAGAAGAACCCGAAGTCAAAAAACCTGACATTCACCTCATCTCACAAGTAGATGTAACCTATAAGATCAGAAGAGATGAGGAACATCTCAAGCATATGTAAATTGAAACGTCCAGTTCATCGATAACAAACCAAGTATTATTTGACAGAAAATGTATTGACCATCAAAGACAGAGGCAAAGCCTCAAGGTTTTGCTATATTCATCAGAAAAGCTTAAAGTAGAATAATCGCAAAGCATCAGGAAAAATGCAGATATCAAATTTAAGCTACACAATATAGTTGGTGGTGGTAGTGGTTTTGATTCAGTTAGATGTTCCGCCCTCCTACATGCTAGTAGATTCTTCCTGTACCAAGCTCTTATACTTTAATGAAAAGCAGGGCTTCGTCTATAAAAAAACAGATAACACAACAAATACATCTCATACTCAAATCCCAATGCTTATGTTTGGTTCCATCTGGCCTGTTAAGGTTTTTCTTTATTTAACAGTTTCCCAATGTTGTCATGCACTGGAATCTGCTTAAGCCAAGATTCTCTTAACTGGCAGAAATTTTAAATAGGACTCTCTGCATCAACACAACTGTCACCTTCCGGAGATTTCTGGCCAGCCAATATGTCAGACGTTGTATCATCAGGAACAATTCCAATGTTGAGCATTTCATCATGCAACTGGAATGCTTCTTGCACCTTACCATCACGGAGGCTTCCATTTATCAGCATGTTATAAATAAGAGCATTAGGGCGTACATCCAATCTCCTCATGTCATCCAATAACTTCTTAGCACCATCAATGTCTCCAATGCGGCAAAGGCCATGTGTTAACACTGTGAAAGTGATATCATCAGGAATGTTACCCTTGGCCATCATCTCTGAGTACAATTCCAATGCAAAGGCTACATTGCCATCTTTTGAGAAACCGTCGATTAAGGTAGTGTATGTTACTGTATCAGCGGCAATTCCTTCTTTAATCATGCTCTCATAGAATTTGGAAGCTTCTTTCATCATTTTCAAATCCTTGTACCCGGTAATAAAATTAGTGTAGACGGAAGATGTGGGTGTTAGACCATCTTTCAGCAGAATAACAAGAAATTGCAGTGCATGAGACATATTCCCTTCATGGCAAAACCCACTTATTAAAGCATTGTACGCAGCAATGTCAGGTTGAAGGCCTTTGCGCCTCACATTATTTAGCATTTTAAGTGCCAGATCACAACAACTGGTCCTGCAGTAACCGTCAATGAAACTGGTATATGTTACTATGTTGGCGGGTATACCTTTCTCACGCATCTGCTGATACATAGCAAATGCTGAGCCCATCATACCAGCTTTCACAAATCCATTGATGATACTGTTGTACGTCATTGTGGTCGGGACAAAACCTTCAGCTATGAAGTTCTTCAACATTTCATCAACTTCATAAATCCGGTCACTCATGCAAATGCCATTTATGAGAACATTATGTGTATACTCATTGCAAGAAACTCCATTTTGTTTCATTTCATCAAGGAGGGCATAGGCCTTGTCAAAAGCCTTCTTCTTGATATACCCTTTCATCAAAAATGTGTACGTGAAAACATTAGGTACAAATCCTTCCACAGGCATCTCTGAGTACAGTTTGACTGCTTCATCCATGCACCCCTTCTCACAGTAACCCATTAACAAGCTGTTGTATGTCACAACAGATGGTTTCACTCCAGTTTCCTTCATCTTACCAAACAAGTTAAGTGCTTCGCTGAGCTTGTGTTGCTGGCAGAGCCAACGAATTAGACCATTGTACGTGAAGACATCCGGTAGCCTAGAATCAGCCATCTCCATACACAAGCTTACAGCATCTTCCCACCGTTTATCACACAACAGGCCCTTCATAACCAAACTGAACTCGTGTGAACTTGGCAACAGCCCCTGCCCTCTCATCTGGCGATATAGCACATACACCTTCTGTGTCATCCCAGCTTGATTACAGCCTCTTATAAGCATCCCATACGTCACATTAGTTGGCAATATACCATTCGCCAGGGTCTCGTCGAAAAGATCCAGAGCTTTCTCAACCTCGCCTCGCAAGCAATACCCATGCATCAAAATCGTCGCGAGAACGACATCCATTTTCTTGCCGGCGGACAGCATCTCGTCCTTGACCCGCAGAGCCTCCTCCATCCTCCCCACCTTGACAAGCACATCCACCACAGACCTGTAGGTGAAGTCCCACGTCTCGAAGCCAGCCTCCTTCATCTCCCCAAGGAGGAGGAGCCCGCGGTCAGCATCACGCAGTTTGCACAGTGCCGCGATCACGAGAGCGTAGACGCGCTGGTCGGGCTCGATCTCAGCGCCGGGCATTTCATCAAACAGCCTGACAGCATCCTCGAGCATCCCTTCCTTGACGCAGGCCCGCATGAGCGCATCGAACATCCATGCGTCCACGCGGTCGCCCCTCCCCCGCATCTCCGCGAAGAGCGCAAGCGCGTCCCGGGCCGACGAGCAGCGCGCGGTGGTGACGAGCAGGTCGGTGCGGGACTTGACGTCCGGGACAACGCCGCGGGCGACCATGTGGGCGTAGGCGTCGGCGGCCGCGCTGGCGCGGCCGGCGCGGGAGAGGGAGGTGAGGAGGCGGCTGAGGAGGGACACGTGAACGGCTGCGACGGGGGAGCCGGAGTGAGGGCCGGCCGCGGCTGAGAGGACGGCGTTGACGAGGGCGCCCGGGGCGAGGCCCGCGTCGAAGGCGGCCGACTTGAGGAGGGTGAAGGCACGCGGGTGGGACGGGGATGAGGCGAAGAGCGCGCGGAGGGTGGAGGTGAGGTTCTCCACGACGGCGGGGTCGCGCGCGGCGGGGCGGTTGGAGAAGTGGGCAGACAGGGGATCGGTTTGGTGGGGCGGCGCGGCGGGAATGGGGATGGCGGAGGCGGTGGCGCAGAGGGAACGCCATGCGAGCCAGGGCGAGGAGGCTCCTCGGAGCCGTGGTGGGCGGCGCATGGTGGCGGGGAGGAGGGGTTTAGCTAGGGATTGAGCGGAACTGCGCAAGCATGCGACGTTTGACCCCCGAGAACTGCCGCTCTCTGCGAACCAAACTGTCGTTCGATGGTGTTCTCAGCCTATTGGTTCTAAGAGCGTCTCCAACCGCGCTCCTTCGGGCGATTTTTTCGCGCCGTCATCCAAAAAACGCCCAGTTACATCTACAGAAGCCCGTTTTTCATCGGGTTGTACCGAACCCGGCGCGCTGGGGGACGCCCAGGGGCGCCGGGGCGAGCGGTTTTGGCGCGAAAAAGCCGCGGGCCCATCGAGTCAGCGATGTGCGCCTCGTCGTCATCGGAACGTCTCGGTTTCCCGCGTGGAATCAATGGCAAGGCTGCGGCGACAGCCTTGCCATTGATTCCTCACGGACGGCGCGGCGACGCCTCCCCTCCCGTCATGCGTACACACGGCGGGGGCTATATAAGCCGGTGGCCTCTCTCGCCTCTGGCCACACCAGCCCACAGCCGCCATCGACCGCCGCCGAGCTCTTCCTCTCCCCCCGTGCGTAGCCGCTCGCCGACGCTTCTTCCCTCCCTCTCCCTCTCTCCCAAGCCCGATGGTCGCGCGATTCCCCGGCGCCGCGGTGGCGGCCAACGGCTTCGGCCGCCGCTCGCTCCACGAGTGGGAGGCGTGGCTACTCTTTGAGGCGAACATCCGGGCGCCACCAGACATGCGCGCCGGGCCGACGGGGTGGAGGCTCAGCAACGGGGGTGTGCCCATTCCCTCGGTGCCCGACGTCGAGGCGCGGCCGGCCTACTTCACCGCTGAGGTGGACCGCGTGCGAGCCTCCCTGATAGAGGAGCAGCGCGTCCTCCCCCAGTACACCGCCGACAACCACGCGTCGTGGGCGGCGTACTTTCAGCACCGCCAGGAGCAGAGGTTGGCTTCCACCAACACGACGCCAGTGGTGGGCGGCGTCAAGAACAGCGAGGGGCGCCGCGTATGGTGGGGCGCCCCCGGCCGCACGCTCTATGACGTGCTGGAGCACCTCGAGGGCGGCAACGACCCACCGCTGGCATACCCTGCCGCGGCGGCCGCCCCGGTCCACCGCCGGAGCGCCGGGCAATGGATGCCCAGGAGGTTCGGCTCCTCCTCAACTTCCCCCTCCCACTCCTCCTCCCGTTCTTCTTCCCACTCCTCCTACTATAGGAGCGTCAAGGCCGAGTCCGCAGCGGAGACGCCGCTCGGCCGGCGCACTCGCAGCGTCGACATCATCATAAATGAGGGCGGCCGGCGCGCCTCCTCCTCGGCTCCTCCTCGCTTCGTCAAACCGAAGACAGAGCTGGGGCTCGCGGCCGTGAAAACGGAGCCGAGGCTCCCCGCCGTGAAGACGGAGCACGGCGCCGGGAGCTTGACGAGGCGCCCCCCCTGAAATGGGCGCGCGATGACTGGTTGTACATGGAGATGGTGCGCCGGCCCCGCGCCCTAGAGCACTTCGAACATCGACGCCGGGGCCGCGACGAAGGAGGCGTCGTCGTCCTCGACGACAGCGACGACGACGACGCGCCGCCACCCCTACCGGTCCGCCATGGCGACACTGGGCAGGGGTCCAGCAGGGTGGCCGCGTCAAGGAGGAGAAGGCCGACGACGGCGGCGCCGGCGGTGACTTCGCCGCGCTCAGCGACTTCTTCGGCCCGTAGTTATAGTTTCGGTCTTTTTTTTAATAAATTTGCTATGTAAAATGCCGAACAAGTCTAATATATGCCCAGTTTGCCAAATTTAGCCGAATTTTAGCCAAACTTTGTCGAATACTCTTTTTTTAACATAAACGGCGTCTGGGGGTGGCCCTAGGGTCGGCGGCTGGGAACCCACTCGCCCCTAAGCCGATTTTTTGCGTCGGCTCGCCCCCAGGCGGCGATTTTACGCGCCCCCTAGGGGGGGCAACGGCTAGATATGCTCTATGTCTTAAATGATATTGGTCCTCGTATTTTTTCTATATTTATATTTCAACATTTTTGATAATATTTCATCAACTGTGAGGCCTTTGTTGTGATTTGGTCAATCTCAATACTATGCCGGCTCAGTCACTCAGAGGTGCTCATATGAACGCACTCATGCATATCCTATCCCTATGAGCACCTTAGATTTTGAACCGACATAATATTTTGAAATTGAGATGTCGAGAGGTTGAGCCAGCACAACATTTTGAGATTGACTAAGTCACCGTAGACGCCTCATACTAGACGGGAACGTCTCCCCCTACTGAAAATCCTAAAATAAATTCAAAAAATGTGAACGCCAATGTCAAATCTAGTACTTGAATCCTTGTGGGCTGCTTCTGAAGGAAATATGCCCTAGAGGCAATAATAAAGTTATTATTTATTTCCTTATTTCATGATAAATGTTTATTATTCATGCTAGAATTGTATTAATCGGAAACATAATACATGTGTGAATACATAGACAAACATAGTGTCACTAGTATGCCTCTACTTGACTAGCTCATTAATCAAAGATGGTAAAGTTTCCTAACCATAGACATGAGTTGTCATTTGATTAACGGGATCACATCATTAGGAGAATGATGTGATTGACTTGACCCATTCTGTTAGCTTAGCACTTGATCATTTTAGTTTACTGCTATTGCTATCTTCATGACTTATACATGTTCCTATGACTATGAGACTATGCAACTCCCGATTACCGGAGGAACACATTATGTGCTACCAAATGTCACAACGTAACTGGGTGATTATAAAGGTGCTCTACAGGTGTCTCCAATGGTACTTGTTGAGTTGGTGTAGATCAAGATTAGGATTTGTCACTCCGTTTATCGGAGAGGTATCTCTGGGCCCTCTCGGTAATGCACATCACTATAAGCCTTGCAAGCAATGTGACTAATGAGTTCGTTGCGGGATGATGCACTACGGAACGACTAAATAGACTTGCTGGTAACGAGATTGAGCTAGGTATTGAGATACCGACGATCGAATCTCGGGCAAGTAACATACCGATGACAAAGGGGACAACGTATGTTGTTATGCGTTTTGACCGATAAAGATCTTCGTAGAATATGTAGGAGCAAATATGAGCATCCAGGTTCCGCTATTGGTTATTGACCGGAGACGTGTCTCGGTCATGTCTACATAGTTCTCGAACCCGTAGGGTCCGCACGCTTAAAGTTCGGTGACGGTCGGTATTATGAGTTTATGTGTTTTGATGTACCGAACGAGTTCGGAGTCCCAGATGAGACCGGGGACATTACGAGGAGTGTCAAAATGGTCGAGACGTAAAGATCGATATATTGTACGACTATATTCGGACATCGGAAAGGTTCCGAGTGATTCGGGTATTTATCGGAGTACCGGAGAGTTACGGGAATTCGTCGGGGAGTATATGGGCCTTATTGGGCTTTAGGGAAAAGAGAGAGGGGAGGTTGCGCGTGCCCCCAAGGCTTAGTCTGAATTGGACTAGGGGGAGGGGCGGCGCCCCCTCCTTCCTTCTCTTCTCTTTTCCCTTTCCTTCTCTCCTACTCCTACTACTTGGAAGGGCTCCTAGTTCTACTAGGAAAGGGGGAATCCTATTCCCGGTGGGAGTAGGACTCCCCTAGGGTGCGCCATAAAGAGGGCTGGCCCTCTCCCTCCTCCACTCCTTTATAGACGGGCAGAGGGGCACCCCTTGGAGACACAACAATTGATCATTAATCTCTTTGCCGTGTGCGGTGCCCCCCTCCACCATATTCCATCTTGGTAATATCGTAGCGGTGCTTAGGCGAAACCCTGCGTCGATAGCATCATCAACACCGTCATCACGTCATCGTGCTGATGGAACTCTCCCGCAAAGCTCTACTGGATCGGAGTTCGTGGGACATCATCGAGCTGAACGTGTGCTGAACTCGGAGGTGGCGCACGTTCGGTGCTTGGATCGGTCAGATCGTGAAGATGTACGACTACATCAACTGCATTGTGCTAATGCTTCCGCTTTCGGTCTACGAGGGTACGTGGACAACACTCTCCCGTCTCGTTGCTATGCATCACCATGATCTTGCGTGTGCGTAGGAAATTTTTGAAATTACTACGTTCTCCATTAGTGGCATCCAAGCCAGGTTTTATGCGTAGATGTTATATGCACGAGTAGAACACAAGTGAGTTGTGGGCGATACAAGTCATACTACTTACTAGCATGTCATACTTCAGTTCGGCGGTATTGTTGGATGAAGCGGCCCAGACCGACATTACGCGTACGCTTACGCGAGACTGGTTCTACCGACGTGCTTTGCACATAGGTGGCTGGTGGGTGTCAGTTTCTCCAACTTTAGTTAAACCGAGTGTGGCTACGCCCGGTCCTGGAGAAGGTTAAAATAGCACTAACTTGATGAAATATCGTTGTGGTTTTGATGCGTAGGTAAGAACGGTTCTTGCTCAGCCCATAGCAGCCACGTAAAACTTGCAACAACAAAGTAGAGGATGTCTAACTTGTTTTTGCAGGGCATGTTGTGATGTGATATGGTCAAGACATGATGCTAAATTTTATTGTATGAGATGATCATGTTTTGTAACAAAGTTATCGGCAACTGGCAGGAGCCATATGGTTATCGCTTTATTGTATGCAATGCAATCACCCTGTAATTGCTTTACTTTATCACTAAGTGGTAGCAATAGTCGTAGAAGCAATAGTTGGTGAGACGACAACGATGCTACAATGGAGATCAAGGTGTCGCGCCGGTGACGATGGTGATTATGACGGTGCTTCGGAGATGGAGATCACAAGCACAAGATGATGATGGCCATATCATATCACTTATATTGATTGCATGTGATGTTTATCCTTTATGCATCTTATTTTGCTTGATTGACGGTAGCATTATAAGATGATCTCTCACTAAATTTCAAGGTATAAGTGTTCTCCCTGAGTATGCACCGTTGCAAAAGTTCTTCGTGCTGAGACACCACGTGATGATCGGGTGTGATAAGCTCTACGTTCAAATACAACGGGTGTAAGACAGTTTTACACACGCAGAA